TGGCTGTGTCTCTGGTGATGGAGATGCGGCTCTTGACGGATGGGTTGTACCTGTTACCACCATCATATCTTATGCCCCCCATCCACGCCAGCTTCTTCCCTGGGAACTGCCTGATGCAGTGCCACCAGTAACCACTGGTGGTGATGGAGTGACGAGTGACAGAGCAAGTGAGGGACAGCGACTGTGAGGGCTTCACCAGGCCAGGTCCTGACTCCTGAAGCTGGATCTGGGACAGGACACCTGCAGACAGGAAGAGTCAATTCTGTCAATCACATGTTGTCACATCCCATCATGGACACATGTATGAAATGGTCACACTCACCAGGAAGGGCTGTCACCAGGTACAGAAGACCCAACAGTCTCATCTTCTGGGCTACAACCCCTTCTCTCAGAGGTCAGGCTACTGTGAGAGAGATGTGAGCTCCCACAGCTCAGGAGGGGATTTAACTTAGAGCTAGAAGATGCATTTGCATTTCGGGGTTTACCTTTTCCTTATAAAAGAGGAGGGTGGCTCCCACTCCATTTCCTTATTACAATACAGCCATCACTGTGTCTGACTTCCTACAGTGTGAGTCTGGAGCAAGAGAGCTTGGGGACTGCAGGGATCACAGGAAACACATCTTGGAGTGAGGTCGCCTTCCTAGCCCGAACTCTCCACCCAATTTTTCTGCTTCTGTATTTTTAAGGCTCAGGTCAGTGCTAACATTTTTTCACACCTAGGTTCCTGAGTTCCTGGTTCTGATTAAGATGACCACACTGCTTAGTTTTTTCTTCCTTTTCCCACACACATGATTGGTTTCCATCTTTCCCAGAAAGTTAGCATGCTGTCCTGTTGCTGTAGCACAGGGTCCACACCTGATTCTTACTCCCTCCAGACTGTGGAATGTAGAGGAAACACCTGCTGGTAGAAATCTCTGCATCCCATCCCCCCTCCTCCCTCCTCAACTCCTAAGTCCTCCCCTTCCTAATACACCACCGTGCTGTCTTTTGAAGACAAACAGGCTTCTAGTGAATAAAATACAATAAAGCAAAATGATATCAAAGAAAAGTAACTCATTGAAACAGGACAAAACAAACAAACAAAAACTGGACGAAAAGATCCCAAGAAAAGGCACAAGGAACAGGTGTGGATGCAGAGACCACCTGATTTACATGCTCAGGAATCCTATAAAACCACAATTAGATGCTGTACTATATAGGACAAGGAACTGTATTAAAAATTGTATATATATATATATATATATAATGTAAATAAAGCCATGTGACATATTGAGGCTGGGAAACTCCCAAATTCATTAGAATTTGATACCTGAAGACATCTACTGATGGACCTGCAACCTATGCTTAGGAGGGGTAGTTTCCCTCCGTTAGGCTCCCTTAGAGAAATCTCACTTTTCATTTGAAAGAGGTTATCAATTGGAGTCAGTGATGGGAAAACTTGTACACTTCTTTGTGGTCTAGAACCCCATCTTCTATTGACACTTGCAGGTCCTACTTTTCCTGTAAATAAACTGATTCCACTATGAGAGAAATAGTCCTTATATTATAGTGAGTGAGAGAGTCTTTGAACTGGGTCATTTCTGTTATTGTAGCAATCCCAGGAGAGTGACATAGGTTATAATAACTAACTGATCTTGTGTCCTTCTGGGGGAGGGTCCTAACTGCCATAGGAGATGGTCTCCTGGGCCTTGTATGTGGTTAACTGAGAGGAACAAACTCTGAGTAGAGTCAGGAAACACCCTTTCTGGCCGCTCCTCACTTACTCCCCAGGCTCTGCATATCTAACTTATCATTGCTCTCCCTTTTTGCTGTCTCATGACAAACACAATTAGCAATGCTGTTGATTTCATGAACTTGATTTAATAATGGGCTATGTCCCTCTTTGTTAACTTTGACAGAACATGGTCTCCAGTTGATTAATCTCACTCCCATGTAGAGATTGCCCTGAAAAGTGTGTGGGCACGTTTGTACTCTCTCAGAAATCCTGCACAGGTTAGGTGTGCTGTCCTTGGAATCTAGTGTAACGGGGATGCATCAGGGGAGCCATAAGATGAAGTTCTGTGGAGGATAGAATCTTTGTCTATTCTTAGGAAATGCATCCTGTCCCATATGAAGTAACTCTATGAACCTTGCCTAGGTCCAGCTGGTTCAACTTTTATAACAATCCAATAATTATATCAGTCTTAGTCTTTCTGTTGCTGTTTCCTCAGAATTCACAGATAAGGGAACCCTTATTTCCTTTCTATTCTGATATTTTTTTTGTGTGTAAAACAGAATTCATGATGGTGTTGACACTTCATGTTACACCAAAAAATGCAGGGTGGGGCACTAGGCCTTGGTGGTCAAGGAATTTCTTTTCACCATTACTTGGTGCAAAAGTCACTTCTTGAGTATCATGTGATCTTTGGGAAAAGGCCCAGAGGATAAGGAGGGATAATGATGACGTATGAGAGTAAATTCCCCTGAGTGCTGGCAAGAAATTCCAAACAATGCTTAAACTGAGAGTGTTCATGTATGTGAGAAGACCCAGGTCAGATGGGGAGCATATTGGGTTTTCTCAACCCAGGGTCTTGTTTATACTATTACTTAGTGTTGTTTAGAGTTACTAAACCAACTAACAAATGAAGGGAATGAATGAATGAATAAATAAATAAATCTTTACATACCAGAGAATCCCACTATCATCTCTTGTGGTGATATATTGTGTTTGATCTAATATAGCCACTGGTAAGCATTGTGCAAAGCCACCCTCACTAGTTATCTCTAGAAACTCGACAGTGTTGGCACACACATTTAATCCCAGGACTCAGGATTAGGAGATGGATCTCTGAATCCAAATCCACCCCTAGCAACAACACAGTGAATCAGAGTTCATGCTTCTAATTCCAGGATTTGACAGATAACTATGGTAGGGTCATTCAGTGTCAGGATTATTGTTTGGCCAGTTGAGGAGGCTATCAGAGTTGGAGTGAATCTCAGTATCATAGAAGTCTGGAACAGTTTGAGGATTACACCTTTGGTCTGGGCATAGGTAGTGGCAACAGGTAGTGGCCAGCTGTTTTGCTTTTCTGATCTTTAACCTGAAACTTGAACCCCAATATCAGTGTCTGGATCTTATTTTTTTCATTTCACACACTGCATTATTACTTTTTTATTATTGTTTTAATTAAAGTAGTCAGATTGAAGCCAGGCTATCAGTGGCAGTATTGTTTCTGTTCCTAATATTCAGCCTTTCTGAAGCAAAGATTTATTTGTTTTCTCCTAATTAAGCACACCCAGTCACACAGTCACACATTCTCTCTCTCTCTCTCTCTCTCTCTCACACACACACACACACACACACAATAAAAGCATACAAAGAAAGAAAAGTTTGGAATAATACATGTCAAAGTTATAACATAGTCAAGAATCAAGAGAAGTCATAATTTGGCCTTGTTGCATTTAACAAGAAAGTGTATGCCCTGTATATTAGATGTATGGAGGGCATTCTGCACCTTACAGTCGCTGATGTCTAGGTTACAAAGACAATCCAGCTTCAGGAAACAGTGAAGTGAGCATGTAGGCATCTTGATGACATGAACTGGTCTCTAACAGTCCCAGTGTGGAATCCCATTGCTCTGTCTCAAATGTTATCTCAGAAGGGGCCAAGTTGCAAAATAATGTATTGACACAGGTTGTCTTTGTTTTTCTTCATTAAAGAAACATGTCAACGGAGGTAGGCACTGAAACTGGTGACCACAGAGAATCACTCTTCCCTCGTAGACACTTTCTGAATTTTGTTCAGGTAGGAATAGGTGACATTGTTTTAAAAATGTTAGTCAAGCCTGAGATTGGTGATGCACGCCTTTAATCCCAGCACTCTGTGGGCAGAGGCAGTCAGATCTCTGTAAGTTCAAGGCCAGCCTGGTATACAGGGCAAGTTCAAGGACAGGCTCCAAAAAATACAGAGAAACCCTGTCTGGAAATACAAACAAAAAAGTGTGTGTTAGTCAAAACAGAATTTGTGATTGTTAGAGGCATTATCAATTCCTAGAGTGTATAATTATAAAAGGATCCCCCATAAAACCAGCAGGTGGAGAGAGCACCAAGATAAAAAAAATAATCAACTATGTCTGAACCTGGGCCTAATGTGTTTTGAGTGCCCCATTTTGGCTATGGGATTCTGGCAGGGAGATTTTTCTCTGGGCTCACACTGAAGACTCCTCATTGTGTCCCTTGTACAGTAATAAGTGGCAGTGTCCTCAGTTCTCGGGCTGTTCATTTGCAATGCTTTTTGAATCATCTCTGGAGATGGTGAATCTGACTTTCACTGAATCCACGTAATAGGTTCCATAATTATAACTTTAGTGCCTATGGGAGCAACCCACTCCAGCCCCCATCCTGGAGCCTGGCAGACCCAGTTCATGGCAGCATTACTGAAGGTGAATCCAGAGGCCACACAAGAGAGTTTCAATGACCACTGAGGTGAAAGGAGGAACCTCAGGGTGGATGCAGTAACCTCCCTTGCTGTCCCTTGTTGGCACCTGCTCCTTGAGGCCCTGAGTGTCTGAGATGCCAGCATTGCCTGAGGACCTGCATTCCCTTGGCATCAGCTTGATCTTGTCTGGATTTGGTCCTGATGCACAGTCTAGCTGATGTGTAGCACTCACCAGGGTCCAGAGTGTGGATATGGACTTCTGCTGCCTAGATGCCCTTGAGCTCTCTGCCCCTGTGCACACTAGGTGTTGCCATATCAGTGACTTTCTTCTCACAGTAACAGCTGGACAATTCTCCAGGGATGATTATGACAGATGTGTAACAGGGTGGAAGGAAACCATGTGCACATAAAAATGAACCTGCAGGTCTAGATTGGCCTCATCATGTCTCTTCAGAGTTGAAAGCATTTGAATGTATCAATTTAATAAACCTAGGAATGACTCTAAGAAACAAAATTATCAATTTCACTTCCTCAGAGAAGTGATAAGAGCAAAGAGTTAGGGGAATTTTCAGTTGATGTTTCCTCAGCTGATTTCAGGGTCCTGGTGCCCAGGTGCTCTAGTGCAGTAATAAATGGCGGTGTCCTCGGCTCTTAAGTTGTTCATTTGCAGGTAGAGGCTGATTTGGGAATCTTCTCTTGAGATGGTGAATCTGCCTTTCACAGACTCCACATAATGTATTGCATAATTATTACTTTTGTCTCTAATTTGTGCAACCCACTCCAGCCCCTTCCCTGGAGCCTGGCGGACCCAGTTCATCCAGTAGCTACTGAAGGTGAATCCAGAGGCTGCACAGGAGAGTTTCAGGGACTTTCCAGGCTGCACCAAGCCACCCCCACCCCCGACTCCACCAGCTGCACCTCACACTGGACACCTGCAAACACAGAGACTCCTGTCAGTAAACTGTCCCAAATGCCCACTGTCCTCTCACTCGTGTCCACTCACACACTCAGTAAGTCCCCTTATGTATAAATTACCTTTTAAAAGAGCAACAAGGAAAAACCAGCTCAGTCTCATCTCCATGCTGAGTGTTGAGCGTTCAGTGATGAGCACAGAACAGGAGGACTTTTGAGTCCTGAGCTGGGCACCTCTATCAGAGCTGTAGGGTCAGGGCTGATTTTCATGGGCAGAGAGGGAAATGATTTGCATGTCTTCCTGCTCTATCATGAGCTGAGGGATGTGAGTGCTGGGAGACAGAATTAATGCTGCAGACACCTGAGATAAAATGAGGTGGGTTTTACAGCATTAACCATGACTTATTGTCTGAGAGCCTTAGCTCAGTTTGTAGAAACATTATTCAAGGCAGAAGCCCTGTGTTAACCTCCAGTCCTGCATGGATAAATAATATTTGCTTAGTAGGAGAATCTCACTCTGAGTTATGCCTCTTCAAAAAAAAAAAGAAAGAAAGAAAAGGAAAAAGAACGTGAAAGGAGATGTTACGGAGTGTGAAGTTTAGTTGTAAATAGTAAATTAGTATTGCAACCTTTACTGTGGTTGTTCCATGTAAACTCCTCTGTTATCTTAACAGAAATCATCTCATACAATCATAGGAAATAAAGACATGAAATCACTAAATTATGCCACTTTTAGAAAACAGTCAATCATGAATGCATACATTAAACTAAATAAAAGTTATAGTAGAGGCCACAGCTCAGTAGTATAGTACAGTACACACAAGGCTTAAATATTAATTCATAAAAAGTAAGGAATGCCATTGCATAAATATGAATGCTATCTAGATTATTCTTTGATCAATAATAAAAGCAGATCAAAGACTTGAGTTAGCTCCTAACTCCACAAGGCTGACCTCCTCTCCACCACACAGGCCACCTCCTCTCCATCCCAATTTCACTCCTAGATCTTCTGGGACTTCCAACAGGCACCATTAAGCTCTCTTTCTTTCCATTGCCTATCCTTATGTGCCACAGATCCTCATGGACTCGCCTTTCTCTCCCCACGAGTGAGGTCTGCTCTTTCTCACAGAGAATATCCACATTATTTTTAAGACACATCCCTTCCCTGCACCACCAGGTAGTCCAGGTCCTTACTCTCCCACAGTTTACTCTCTTCTTGTGACCTCCAACCCATTTCCATCACAGTGGATTTGCTAGTTCCCAGGTATCAAAAGAACAGTCTTTTCCATGGTCTTGCTTCTCTAAACTAATAAGTAGACTTTGCCATTTCCTACTTGTTAAGTTCCTGCCTCCTTTGGGTTCATGTATCCAAGTCTACAATATCCAAGGCTTTTCCAAACCATCCAACTCTGCTTGTGTCTCCCCAGGCTATAACATATCTGCCCACTCCTCTGTTAGCATCTCACAGGTTCTGTGTTTCCTGATACTATAAGCCTTAGGAATACACACCCACCAGAGATTTCCCAAAGTAGGAAAACCAGACGTGGAGAGACACACAAGAGTCAAGGAAGAAGATGACAATCAAGGAGTCTTCTGACACATGTGTGGAAACACTCGTCCTGGAAACCAGTTCCACCAATGAAAATAATGTCTCAACCCTCTTGTGAATTAATCCTCTCCTAGGCATTGTACATACCTACACTGAATGAATGAAGTTGATTTGAACAACAGGAATAAACTCTCAAAAAACAACTTCAAATTTGGGAATCCCAGTTCCGAATTGAGTCAATGCAGCTAACTCTGCTGTGGTTCAGAAAGTCATTAGAAATTGCAATGAAAACTTATCCTATGGCAGTCTGGGAATCCTAGAAGAAACTGAACAACTTCTGAGTTCAAATCATCTAAAAAAGTAAGCCTGGAAGGTATAAATAATTCAAACAGACCCTTATCAATGAGTTTGATGCTGGTTAGAAGTCTCACTTTAAGGAATGTCTAGGGGCAGACAGAGTCACTGTTGATTCATCAGACTCCCAAGGAAGACTCCAAACCTACCCTTCTCAACTTCTCCTGTGAAATAGAAACTGACTCAACACTGCCAAATTTATTCTATGGAGCCAGTATTGTTTGAGAACTGAAGACTGTAAAGATACTACCAAAATAATTACCTATTCATTTGATAGCTAAAAATGAAAAATTACTTTTTTTAAATTTTTTATATTTTTTTATTTGAATTAAAAACAAGATTGTTTTATGTGTCAATCCCAGTTCCCAATCCCTCCTCCCATATCACCCCCCACCTAAAAACCTATCTAACACATATCCTTTCTGTTCCCCAGGGAGGGTGAGGCCTTCTACAGGGGGTCATCAGAGTCTATCATATCCTTTGGGATAGGGCCTAGGGCCTCCCCCATTTGTCTTGGCTCAAGGAGTATCCCTGTATGCAGAATGGGCTCACAAAACCACACCTATGCCAGGGATAAGTACTGAACTACTACAGGAGGTCCCCTAGATTTCCGAGATCTCCTTACTGAAACCCATATTCCTGGTGTCTGGATCAGTCCCATGTTGGTGTCCCAGCTATCAGTCTGGGGACCAAGAGCTCCCAGTTGTTCAGGTCAACTGTTAATGTGGGTTTCACCAGCCTGCTCTGGACCCCCTTGCCCATCGCTCGTTCTTCTCTGCAATTGGATTCCAACTCAGTTCAGTGTTTAGCTGTAGCTGACTGTTTCTACTTCCACCAGCTACTGGATGAAGGCTATAGGATGGCATATAAGACAGTCATCAATCTCATTATCAGGGGAGGGCATAGAAAAGTTCTTAAGAAAATGACTGCAGGTAAAATTCATTCCTGCATTGTGGAGTTTTACTTTACAATTAAGTGCACTTCTTTTTCAAAAGCCAGGTTGGTTCAACATGTATCTGTCAGTATCAAGCAACACATAAGTAAATACAAAGTTTGAAATGATGTAATGATTTCAAAAGATGCAAAAAGGTCACTCTGCAAGGTTCAACATGCCATCATGAAAATAGTTTTGAAGTTTTTTGGAATAGGAGCTATATGTGCTTCAAAATAAGAAAGGATTCATAGACAGCGCCTACAACCAAAATTATATCAAATGGAGATAGGGCACCAAATTTAACATAAATATACAACACAGCATGTCCCCTCCTCTCCATGCTTCTGATAACAAGTCCATAGTAATGAACTCCAATGGTGATGACGTGGGTGATTTCCAGGCAAAGAACTCAAAAGAATTATCATGTCTATGAAAATGTAGTTTGAAGAAGATATGGAGATACTTGAAGACAGCATCATCAGCATCACCAAAACAACATCAATCAGAGCTGAATGCAGTGAGGAGGAAATACAAGATAGGAAAGAAATAAAAAGCCAAAGAATTGCTAAAAGTAAATGAAATGGTGCTGGAAATGAAAATATTAATGACTCAACAAACAAAATGTCCAGGGGAAGGACTCACCAATAACATGAATGTTAAAACAAGAGAATCAAGGCTGGTGTATATTGTAGATGTAAGGAACCACTGTGTAAAGGACGATGAGAAAAATTTAAATATGTTTGCAGAGAATATGAAAATGTTTTGGAACATGAAAAAGACGCCTAACCAATATTCTGATAATAGGCAGAGGCTATGGGGAATAATAACGTATCAAGGGAACCAGATGTTTTCAATACAAACACAGAATAAAATTTCCCAAACCTACAGAAAGACATGCCCATCTAGGCATCTAGAGTGGACTAAAGAACAATTAGGAACAGGAAAGAAACTCCCCATGATGTGTTTTAGTTAAATAATAAAAACACAGAAAAAGGAAAGGATTTTGAAAGTTATAAGAAAGGCTAAATTAAAAAATGCTGGGATGTGGTGGAGTATTCTTTTAATCCCAGACTTGGGAGGCAGAGACAAGAAGATCTCGGTGAGTTTGAGGCCAGCCTCGTCTACACAGCAAGCGCCAGGACAAGCTCCAAAGTTATACAGAGAAAACCTGTCTGAAAAAAATGTCAAAACACTTATAAAGGCAGGTCAGTCAGACTAACACTTGAATGTTCAAAAGAAACGTTTTTAGTCAGACAGGCTTGTAAAGATGTATACCAAGTACTTAAAGATACAACTCTCAACATACATAATTATATATATGAAAACATATGTAAAAATTTAATGAAAAACAAAACCTTTCCCAATAAAAATGGTTAAAGAAATGTATGATGACTAATCCAGCTCCACAGAGAATAAGGAATAATGGATATTTAGCCTGAGGAGAATAAACACACCCATGGTCAAAGGGAATGTGGAAACAATTTCAGAAAAGTTAATCCAGAGTTCAAAGAATACACCAGAAACAACCACATGCCAGGAATTATTGCACATTTACCAATAATAACTCAATGTTGATATTCTCCATATCATAATAAAATGTTTCAGAGTAGAGGAGTGGGTTCTTGCTGGCCCAAGAAAGAGACATCACCATCATAGCACACAGCACCTTATGTTAAAGTTTGGAAAATGGTACACCAAGCAAATAGAACTAAGGAACAAACAGCCTAAGCTATTATAATACGTGAAACATATGATGTTAACACAAATCTAATTAGAAGACATAAAAAGATTGCATCATACTCATTAAGCAGAGAATCAAACAAAAAGCTTTATATATATATATATATATATATATATGCCTGTATAATATATACAGATGCAGTGAAAATTGCAGTAAATTTCATAAAAGACATATCATTAGTAATAAAAGCCCAGATAGAAGCCAATGTATTGCCTTTGGATGAATGCAATGCTCTATTCTAATGAAGACACAGTTATCTGAACAAATCACAGAGAGAAACATTGACGTTTAATGTGAGGTACATGAAATGAATCTCACAGATATTTTCCAAATGTTTCACACTGTCATGACACTTATAATTTGTAGGAAAGGGTTAGCATGAAAAGACTTGAAACTGCCTCTCCATGTAAAAAGACTGTCAAGTCCTAGGTTTCAATTGATGAATTCATTCTACTTTGAGCTATACTGTCTTCATGGTGACTGACATTGCCTTGGAATTGTGTTATCTCTGCTTTTGCAGCTTCCCAGGAGACTGATATGTATTTTAGGAACTAGCTGTATTTTTCTGTGTCAAATCTTTATCTTTCAAGGCAAGTTTTCTAACTGACATATGAGACGGACTCCTGGGACTTGTATGAGGTTACCTGAGAGGAATAGACCCTGGGTCAAGTCAGGAAACACTTCCTGGCCACGTCTCTGCAACTGCTCTCCAAATTCTGCACAATTCATTTATTTTGGCTTTTGCTTTTGCTGACCCATGGCAACGAATATTTAGCAATGCTATTGTTCATAAGGAATTGATGTAATTTGACAATCACAATAAGTGTAATTTGACAATCACAATAAGTGTCCCTGTGTTTACTGTGATGCATCATGGTCTCCAATTGATGGTTCTCACTCCATATCAGGGTTCTATGAAATGTTTGTAGAGAGCTGTTAAGTCTCTCAACAGTTCCATATAGGGCAGGAAGATTGTCCTAACAAACTTGTCTTATTGTGATACACTAGACCAGAAATATGACAGAGTTTTGTGCAGGTCAGAAGCTTTGGTTCTCCTTGAGAAAAACATACCTCTCCCACTGAAATGGGCCCTGTGAACTGTCATGTGCCCTACCAGTTCAAAACCAATCATACATACCTTTCTTAAGTTTCAGTTGATGGTTTTCCCAAGTTTAGAGCTAAGGGAAAACCTCTTCCCATTCTGTCGTGACTCCGTGGCTTATATTTGAGAAAGAGAGTTCATGGTGGTGTCAGAATTAACCACATAACACAGAGGAGAACAAAAAAGTGTTGGGCCTTGGAGGTCAAGAAATTTCTGTCACCTTTAACTGATGTAGGAGACACTTCCTGAATAACACATTGTCTGCAGTGATAAGACAAGTCCTTGAACCCAGGTCTTAGATCCTCTTGATAGATGCCTCCCTGTACATTTGAGAGTCCCATTCCATAGAGATGCCTGAAGTGGAAGGTTCCCCTGCTTTCTGGTCAACCCCTGCTCTACAGATGGGGGAGACACAGGGATTTTCAAAAAGTCGCTGATATTTCAAACATTATTTAAAATTCAACACAAGTTTGCATACTCTTTAACATAGAATTGGCCTATGAAACTCATGCCTGCCACAATGCATTCCCCATACAATTGCATCCACAGTAAGTGTAAAAAATTCATATTTGTCATAAGGAAGAGATGTCTGCTAGAGAAACATCTAAAGTAAATATTTTGTGCCAAAGAGACATCTCACTGACATCAATACATTGAAATTGGCAATTATCACAGTATTTATGCAAAACAAATGCTGTATAGAATATGATACCATGAATGGAGTGTGAGAGATTATGGTTTATTTATGCAGGTCCATGTTCTGTCTTCAGTGTGTAGGTCAGGGCACTGAGACTAGGAATGAAGACAATATGAGACCAGAGAATAATGCATAGTATCAGATCATATTTTCATTTAACATGGATATGCATTGGGCTATTATGTCTGTTTTGTGAAAAATCAATTAATATCACTTTAAACCAATTTACAGGAATTATACCGGCATGGAAATACATAATAAAAATATGTCTTATATGCTCAGAGCTATTGCCTTTGCTGGACATCCCCACCAGAATAATATGCTTAGAGGTCACTTAAGATTTAAGACTGATATATATATCCTATTTCTTTAACTAGCATTTGAGAGAAGAATGTAACCAACTGTAGGGAGATATCCCAGGTACCTGTAGCTTTGGCCAGACCCCAAATGGGGTGTGGCCACAGCTAAGTAGTAGGCAGGAAGACTAAAAGGCTGGGGACAGGGAGCAAGCAGGTCTTATTCCTTGGGGTCAGTTGGAGTGGCTACTTCTCCTTTGGAGGTGGGCAGCATGGAGACTGTCTGTGTCCCACTCTTGACATCAGCTGAAAAGGAAACTGAACCACATACTGGATAAGGGGTATAAGTGTTTATTTATTATGGGAAGTTACTCACAAAAGAAGCTGGTAACCCAGGTTAGCCTCTGCAAACTTTGAGTGTCCCTGTCCCAAGCCTTTTATTCCACCCACCTACTACTTACCTGTGACCATGCCCCAAAACAGGCATGGTCAATGCTACAGGAACTTGGGATATTTCCCTACAACAATCAACCTTACTTGCCTTGATTTTCCAGGTTATCAACTTATAGAAACTAAGATAATGCACAGTTCTAAACCTAAGTGATGTGCTCTTCCATGCTCCTGAATCAAGAGCATCTATCGTATGTGTGTTTTATTTGTGTTGTGACAATCATTTGATGAAAACACAAAACATATGTTTAAATAAATCTTATAAAACGAATGCCCAGAATAGTGGAAGAAAACAGAGAGATATTGATGGATGAACAACGATGGTTGTAGCACAGACAGGAGAGAGGGGGAAGGAGAAGGGAGAGAGAGGGGGGCAGGAACAGACATGGAGATGGAGACAGAGATTTAGACTCATGTAAGAGAGATACGAGAACAAGGGGAGTGTTTAAAGAACTCAAATCTGAGCTTTCTCTAGGTTGAATGACACCAACAGGAAGACTTTGATTTCTTTTCTTGAGGTACTGTGGAAGGATTACTATTGAGTCTGAGTTTTTTGTGAATGTGTTTGAATCTATGCATTTTAGAATATTGTATGAGGAATCACTAATGAAGTAAATCTATTCATTTGGTGCAATGAGTTGGGAACATTTATTGAATTAGTGTGGTGATGGGGAATGTACTGTATATGTTTAACAGCAAGTTAGACCGGACTAAGAGTCAAAGAGGATTCTGGGAAATGTAGTAGAGAAGTGGTGATCTGGGCAGGAAGTGACATAGCAAGGAGACTCATATTTAACCAAGGAGAAACAGGAAGTGGCTCTCTTTTCCCCTCTGCTCCTGCTCCAGCGGCACGATGTGATCCACCGGCAAGGAGGGACGCCAATAAGGCATCTGATAAGATAAGTCTTATAAAATGAATAGGTTTATGATAGTTAAGACTGAGCTAACAGATGAGAATCCTAGTCATTGGCCAAGCAGCATTGTACCTAATACAAGTTTCTGTGTATTCATTTGGGCCTAACTCAGGCAGGCAGCTGGTGTAAAGCTCAATGTGGCAGTGGGACTCGGCAGCGTTTTGCAGATTTACTGTAACAGTGTGGTATTTTGTACCCTTCATTATTAGGGAAGACTAGAGTGAATATACTTTCTTGAATGTAAATTGTGAAAATACTTGTTATCAATATAAACAGGAGCCTGGAATTCTCCCAAAAGTTCCTCCCTCATCTGTCTGGGTGGTTGCGAGGTCCTGAAGAAAAGGGAAATTTACACTCCTTAAGTCAATGGAACCAGTAGGTGGCTCTAGTCCCTGAGAGCACCCCTTCTTATCTATTTTTCTCTTCCTGTATCTAATCCAGTTTGATTTCACCACAAATCACATCACAAGGAAAGAACAGTGCTTTCTCTGAATTACATCACAACTCCACCTTATTGCTTTGATCACAAAACATTCTACCTGTAGGGAATCCTCTGACTGCAGTTTATCATTTGCAGAGCAGAAAAAATCATAGATTAGAGAGACACTCATTCATAATGTATTGCCACAGTTTTCCCTTTGTGTTTTATAAAGGAAAAGCATATCAGTAGTAGTGGTCCCTTGTAAAGTGCTGGTCAATGCATGGTCTACTCTGGGAGCATCCTTAATCAGCAATGCATCATCCCAGCAGTCCTTCTGCAAAGCTGACCAAGGCACTGCAGGACTGTGAGGAGGAAACAGAGTAACAGACACTCGGGATGATGGTTTCTGTGTAAGTCTCCACACTGATCTCTGTCATCTCAGCTTCCTGCTCCTCCCTGGTTTCTGACACACTCAGGATGTGGTTGCAACACTGTGTGCTGCAGTGTGTTGCACAGTAATAGGCAGCAGAGTCCTCAGATATCAGGCTTCTGAGCTCCATGAATGCTGTGCTGGAGGATTTGTCTGCAGTCAGTTTGGCCTTGCCCTTGAACTTCTGATTGAGGTCAGTATAACCAGTATTAGGAAAAAAACTTCCAATCCACTCCAAGCCTTGTCCAGGCTTCTGCTTCACCCAGTGTATATACTCATAAATGAAGGTGTAGCCTGAAGTCTTGCAGGACAGCTTCACTGAGGCTCCAGGCTTCACCAGCTCAGCCTCAGACGGCTTCAGCTTGACCTGGGAGTGGACACCTGTGGAGAGAAAGACACAGTGGATGTCACTGTCACCTGAGAACATGGCCCCTCCTCAAGTCTGGAAATTGGAGCCCTTACCTGTAGCTGTTGTCACCAGGAAGAGGATGATCCAGCTCCAGCCCATGTTGAGGAACTGTGTGCTCAGTGACTGTAGAGAGGACACTGATCATGTGTAGTTGGTGTGGACATCCCTGTATTTACATTCATAGATTCACATGATTTGCATATTCATGAGCAGGGTGCCTCTTAGATAAGCACTGAGTCCATCTGGAGAGGAAGGAGGTAGAGGACACCTGGGTCAGGCATCAGGATGCTGAGGTCTAAATAATCATCCTGTCTGAGGAAGCATTCATTCCTGAGACCTATGCAGATCCTGTGGATATAACATCAAGGCCTAATTCCTCAATTTACAAATAGAATCCCAACCTGAGAAATTATTTCATTTTCCTGACAAATTAACAGGTGTTGGTAGTGATGAGTAAAGTTGTTAATGGCAATTTCAAAACCTTCTAAAATGGGAGAAATTTTACTCTCTCATCTGTAAGATATTAATATTTTCTTTTCCAGAATGTTACAGGTGTCTGTTTCTGGTGATTTTTTTTCTTTTTCTAAATACCTTTCTTCTAGTATATTCTTTAGTTTCAATAGAAAAAGGCATTAGGGTTTCTGGTCGAAATATGGGAAATATCTGAGAGGACTGGGCATAGAATTTCATCAGAATATTTTTCATGAAAAAATGTTTTACAAAAATCCAAAATAAATAAATATTTTTAAAAATGAGAAAATACAAATTTGTGCAATATTAACAATGAATTTTTACTGTGTTTGAAAATTCTTGTCTTCACATATCAACTGTATCAGCTGTTGTTCAGCTGATAAGTCTTTAAGAAGGGAATCCACAGGGGCTCTGGGGTCCCTCCAATCATCATCTGATTTCCATCCTAATGATTGATGTCTCCATGGTGCCCCCTGTTGTCCTTACAATTTTTATACTCTTATCATTCTGAGTTTAAAAAGAATAAACTTGTCACAGATTCAGTCATTCTGTGGCCTCTCCATCCTGGCCTTTTAAAACTCAGTTCTCACTGACCATAATCAGGAGACCCTGGCTGGTGCTTTTAAGGTTTGTATCAACTGGACTCATAGAGTTGTTGAAGAATTATTTGCCCAAATCTAAGCAGAAATAAGTCATCTCACATTCTTTAAATATTGCTCAAGAATGCCTGTTTTTATTCAATACACCTGTGAGATATTGAGTAGCTAATCTACAGACTTCTGGTGTCAAGTGTCTGCCCAACCTAGAGGTTCACTGTGGTCACCATATGTCCCTGGCTGCCATGTGGCCTGACCTCACCCTGGTGTCAGGGAACAAACAGTGGTTCTCTTGGTTTTCACTCACAGTGTACTGTTCAATGAGTTGTGATTGCCTGGATCTCAGTAATCACACATTCTGTTTGTCTATTTGTTCACAAAAAAATTCTTGACACATTGCTGAGGTCCCTATAATAGTATCGAGAGAAGGCTCGGGCCTGGAAAAGTAGATTCTGTTTCTTTTCCAGATTCCTGAAACCAGTAGTAATCCTTAATGCTGAACCAACTCCAACCATCAGTTCTCCAGTTGATAATCTCTAACTCACAGGTAACACTCCACATTTCCTACCTTCAACTGAGTCAAAGAGTTCACAACAGTGAGCAAGTAGACAATGTGAACTAGGAAATACCAACAGAAAGCAGAAAACTGAGATAAGGAACTCTGTTGCCAATGAAAGCTGAGTTAGAACAGACCCCTGAGATGACATCACCTGGCTTGTGCACAATGATCACTCAGACTTTTCACAAGATGGGGAACAAGAAACACCTGTAAAGGAATCATTGCATGGGATTGAGTTGCATTGTAATCTTTACAAGGATGCAAATTTCCAATATGATTGAGTAAATCTGTGAATTAACTGTACCCTTCCAGAGCTTTAACACATTGAAAGATGGAAAAAGTAGAGATCCTGTTTTCCCATCTTTCTGTGGTAATCACAATCCTTCATGGAAGATTTAGATTTTACTCCACAAGATGGGAAATAAATAATAAGCATTATCAGGTTATTTAAATTTCCCCATGATTTCCATCTAAACCTATTATCACCAAGTCTTAAAATTATAGACACTGTGGAAAATCAAGCAGTTTTATTTTTGCTTTTATTCTGACAGCAGGTTGCAAACAGATACCTTAGATGCTCCATGGGGAAATAATTGTATGCATGGTAAAATTGAAACAGTAGTAACTGTGATAGAATAGGACATGGCCAAGGGTCCCTAGAAGATTATTTGAACAGGAAGAAGAAACCACGTATTCTAAAATGTAATCAGACGTACACTTATTTACAGGGAAGTACATGGTGTCAAATGAGAACTGCCTGTCTTCTGAGGGCCATCTAGTATTTCTGAGTAGCTCCAGCATTTCTTAAGGGCCTGTGTTGTTCCCAAGCTCCTGTGTAGGGAGGCTTGTGTGTGACTTCACACTGAAGTCTCCTCCTGTGTCTCTGGAACAGTAGGTCATGGCAGGAGGTTCATGTAAGAAAACTTGGCAATTGAGGTATCCCTACCAATGCTGATGATGGAGTTCGAGGTATCCCTACCAATGCTGATGCTGGGGTTCAAATCCCTATTGCAAATTCTGTCTCCAGTAGTCCAGTACCTTCTTTTTGACACAGTCAAAGAATAGTATTCATAAGTGTAAACACAGGAGGATTTGTTTAATTTGATGGTTTTAATTACAGTGCAAGTTTAAGTACTGTTTGGACAATATATCCCAGCATTGGGAGTGAGTGCCAACCTCACTACAGACTTTGTGTCTCAGCCATGTTCAGTTCACCTCAGGAAATCCCTGCTCTGCCTTGTGGGGTGGGTCACACAGCTGCAGTGATGTGTGGACCCCACTCAGTCTGTGGCACATTCCTTAGGCATAGCCACAACTGCTTCCTGTCAATAATCTAGGAAGTGCTATGACATTCAGATGTATCCAAGGATGGAAGTAATGGAGACTCCAACATAGAATTAATTTTTTAATGGATAAACTACTGTAAAGTCAAGGTAAGCTGTCTTTCAAAAACATGTTTTGATTAAAAAAATAAATTCCCAAAGCAGAGAGATGGCTCAGCTGGTTTGGGTTAGATTCACAATCAAAAGTACAAGAAATACTACTGTGTATCCTGTCTTCAGAGACAGAGTGAGGAACAAATAAACATAAACACGGCATTTCAGCAACAGAGAGACAAAAGACTCACTGTGTTCTCTGTGCTTAGGGAGTGGGAAGAAAAATCAGAGCAAACCAGGTGTTTTTCATTCCTTGCTCTGAGTTCTTAGGGTTGGTAAGGGCTGAGCGCCCCCTGCTGGCCCAGAGCTCCTCTGCAGGGAGGTTTTTGTCTGGGCTCATGCTGAAGTTTCCTCACTGTGTGTCTCCTGCACAGTAATATGTGGCTGTGTCCTCAGTGGTCACAGAGTTCAGCTGCAGGAAGAACTGGTTCTTGGCTGTGTCTCTGGTGATGGAGATGCGGCTCTTGAGGGATGGGTTGTAGTCAGTGCCACCACCATTATCTATGTACCCCATCCACTCCAGCTTCTTCCCTGGGAACTGCCTGATGCAGCTCCAGTAGTAACCACTGGTGATGATGGAGAAATCAGTGACAGAGCAAGTGAGGGACAGCGACTGTGAGGGCTTCACCAAGCCCGGTCCTGACTCCTGAAGCTGGATCTGGGACAGGACACCTGCAGACAGGAAGAATCAGTTCTGTCAATCACATGTTGTCACATCCCCTCATGGACACATGTAAGAAATGGTCACACTCATCAGGTCCTAGTTTTCCCCTGTGAGATAAAGGTTCTTCATGGTGATTGAGGGAACCGTTGAACTGGGTCTTTTCTGTTATCATAGTTCTCCTAGGAGAGTGACACAGGAACAAACTGATCTTGTGTACTTCGAGGGGAGGGTTCTAACTGCAATCGGAGCTCGTCTTCTGGCCTTGCCATTAACAGAGATGAATAAACTCCCTTCCTGGACCCTCTGAAATTACTCCCTAATCTCTGCATAACTAATTTATTTTGTTTTCCCTTTGTAGTCCCACAACAAATATATTTAGGAATGTTTTGGATTGTATGAACATGATGTAATATTGGACTTGTCCCTCTTTATTAACTTTGACATAGCATGGTCTCCAGTTGATTAAACTCACTCCCATATGGGGATTCCTGTGACATGTTTGTAGACAGTATTATTCTCTCTTCACAATCCTGCACAGGTCAGAAAGGTTGTCCTAAAAATCTTCTAAGGCTTGGATGCATCATGACCCACAAGATAAGGAAGGGTAAGGAGGAATTCTGAAAATAAATTCCAAGTGGAAAATACGTGTTCTGGCATGATATTCCAATCAACTGTCAATCTGAGTGTTCTCATGCATGTGAGAGCAGATGAAAGACCCCAACTCAAACCCAGCCTGATACCCTCCAGCATGTATTTGAAAATCACTCTGGCCACACACAGCTCTGGGAAAAAGAACAAATGAAATGGTCGGTCATGTTGACCAGTCTCTGCAAATTGTTATTATTACCAGTTTCCAAGGAATGTTATTATCCTCAACAACTGTCTCATTTCTAAAAATTGTTATGGGTTACCCTGCTCCAGAGAATCATCACCACCCAAGTTTTGAAAATAAGTATAAGTCACTCTGTTCCCAGAAAAAACACTAGCTGTCCCATGGCCTTGCAAATCTAAACACCAAAATAACATTCCAAGCCCCTCAACAGCTTTTAAAATTGTAAGTTCAGTTCCTAACCAATCAGTAAATGACTCATGTATGTTATAGCCAATCAATACGTTGCCTACTGACAAAAAAGATGTAAAAACTGCTTGCTTTGGAAACTCAAGGTTGTTCTCTTCCCACTGAGTGACTCCAACGCTTTGGAATAAAATCCTTTTGCTTTTACATTGAATTTGTGTCATGTGAGTGACTCTGTGGGGTGTGTCTCCCGAAGTTGGACCCCCATTTTGGGCCCAACAGAGCCAGGTCAGATGGGAAAGAAATTGTATTTTCTAGCAACAGGTTTGGTTTACACAGCTTGTTGACTTTATAAGAATTAAAAATGTTTAAGCCAGAGGATCTAACTTCGAAGATGTTCTTGTAATTGTCTTAATAATTGTTGCAAAAATATCAAGACAGAATTATTTCGGTTCCTGATATTCAGTGTTTGTACAGTCCATATGTGTATGCATTCTCCTAAGTAGAAAAACAAAAACGAAAAAAGCATTCACAGACAGAAATGATAGGCTTCAGATATGTCAAAGTTGTAGCAGAGCAAAGATCAATAGATGTCTTAAGTGGTCCTTGCTGCCTGCAAGAACAGAAATATTGTGTAGGGGGGAGGGGCTTTGTGAACCATATGAAAATGTCCAGTTTATGTCAATCAATCTCAGCCTAGAACTTGTGTCAAAGAGAATCCAATTTCAGGAAACAGGAGAATGCATAAGCAGGGCTGCTGATGGCATGAACAGTCCTCTTACATTCCCAGCTTGGAATCCCACTGCTCTGGTCCCAATGGTTCCTGACCAGGAGCTCAAAGTGGCAAATCCAATACGCAGGGGAATTCACAGCCTGACATCCAGCTACATCTCTAACACTAAGACAATAAGAAACTCGACTAAAACTAACAAAAGATCAATTAGAATAACTTACAAATAAATCTCTAAAATTAGATTTATGAGGAAAAGTACAGTGACTCCCCACAAATCTATGGCGACAACTTCAAACAAAGTATTTTTGTGATATTAGGTACAGCAAATTGAATTTTGAAAGGGGTTTTGTTTGCCCTAATATTGTCGATTTGTATTTTACTGTTCAAATTTATATAATAGTTTATTCACAATATAACAGAAAAAGATCTACTCTCTTAAATCTAAAGGATATTGATATCATAATGTACTGACACAGCTTGTGTTTATTTTTGTTTCATTAAAGAAGCATGTCAATGGAGGTGGTCACTGATAAAGAAGTGTTCAAGCATGGTGCATTGTAGGGGCATGTTGAATCAATATCTCTTCATTGCCACATATCCATTGCTTTGGAAAAGTTGACAATGTCACTATAGTGCTATGATGAGGAGCAGTCAAAGGGACACACAGACTGAATATTTCTGAGTAATTCCCCAGGCTAATCTTCTCTGTCCTATCAGACTCAGGGCAGTTTCCTGTCCCTCCAGGGTTTCTGACACACTCAGGAAGTGGTTGCAACACTGTGTCTCTTGCACAGTAATAGACAGCAGAGTCCTCAGATGTCAGGCTGCTGAGCTCCATGTAGGCTGTGCTGGAGGATGTGTCTGCAGTCAGTGTGGCCTTGACCTGGAACTTCTGAGCATATTTAGTATTACCATTTTCTGGATCATTTCTTCCAACCCACTTCAGGCCCTGTCCAGGCTTCTGCTTCACCCACTCAATATAGTAGCTGGTGAAGGTGTAGCCTGAAGTCTTGCAGGACAGCTTCACTGAGGACCCAGGCTTCACCAGCTCAGCCCCAGACTGCAACAGCTGGACCTGGGAGTGGACACCTGTGGAGAGAAGGGCAGAGTGGATGTCGCTGTCTCCTGAGTGCATGGCCCCTCCTCAAGTCTGGAACTTAGAGCCCTTACCTGTAGCTGCTGTCACCAGGAAGAGGATGATCCAGCTCCATCACATGGTGAGGACCTGTGTGCTCACTGACTGTGGAGAGGACACTGATCATATGTTGTTGGTGGTGTGGACATCCCTGTATTTACCAACATTGACTCATATGATTTGCATATTCATGAGCATGGTAATTCTTAGATAAGGACCTAGTCCAGCTAGAAAATAAGAAGGTTGAGAACCCCTGGGAGAGACAGCAGGATGCTTAGGGCCAAGTCTGAGTCCTCACTGAGGAAATGTATAATTTACTTCTTCCTGGATTCCAGGGCAGATGCTGATGATATAACATCACTACATTTCTACTATAAAGTATTGACTCAAATATGGTAAACAAAAACTCAACTGCAAGAGAATGTGTGCAACAAGTTCACTAATTTAAAACTCCTGCTCTCTGAATCTTGCATATAGTGTGTTCATTCCCTCAGTACTTGACCACAGGTTTGAGAAAGTCTTCAGGTTATTATTCCCTGTCCTCAACCCCAAGTTAGTTTCTTACCCCTTCAGGGTTTCTGACACACCTCAGATATGTGCTTTGACACTGTTGTTTGAACAGTAATAGACAGCAGAGACCTCAGATTTCAACCTGCTGAGTTCCATGTAACCTGTGTTGGATATTGTGTCTGCAGTCAGTGTGACTCTGCGCTGAATGTTCTGTAAATAATTTGTTTGGCCAATTCTTGGGAGTATCAATCCTACCATTGCTATCTCGTGTATAGGTTTTGCTGCAGCCAATTCATATACAAAATTGGGAAGCTATCTTTGTCAAAGTCCTTGCAGGAAAATTTTACTGAATCTACAGGACTCCCCAATACAACTCCAAACATCTGCAACTGAACCTAACAAAGGACATCCCATACAGAAAGAATGGCATGATCACTTCCATCTCTGCCCCCCCCCCATCAGCGCTGTTCCTGGAAATTGATTTACCTATAATTGCTGCTACCAGGTAGAGGACAATCTTACTTCAGTCCACTGTGAGAACTTGTGTGCTCTGGAACTGTGGTCAAATGAGGACTAATGCAGTCCTGCTGGTTGTGTGGATATCCCTGTAAATTATCTAATCATGGGGAATGGTATTTAGTCCATGAAAACATAATCATTTTGAGACAGAACAGGTAGAGTTTTTCCATGTTAGTCAGGGACAGGGAGAATGAGGCTCAATTCCTAAACCTGTCTGGAGAAATAAATTCCTTGCTTAATCCCAGCCCCTGTGTGGACAGCGCTCTTCCATCCCAGTGAGAATCCAGTCACCACATCCGGGTACATTGGAGTGAACCAGACTTCAAGGGTTAAAGGCTCATTTGAACCTCCTTATGGTCAACCATGTTTATGATGCTGAGAAGGCACGTTGACCACCCTGGCCCCATCAGACACTGGCACAGAGCTGTGGAGGCTGCTGTCCATTCCAGTGATCAGCAGGAATGTGCTCACCTCTGATGTGAGCTGGGAACTCCTGGGACACTTTTCCAAAAAGGTTCCCCAGTGTTCTGGAGCTCAACTACCCTTAACCTTTACCGATAATTCTTTCATAAACTATTATCCTATCCAGCAGCTGTATGAACCCATTCTGGATCTTGATGACGTTACTATAGATTTTATTTAACCGGCAGCCTCTGAAGTGTTGCAGCATGGAGATCTCACATGTCAGCTACAGCACTGTCTCTGAATGTAATGGCAATGAAATCCAGAGTTTGTTGAAATCTACTCAATGTACAACATCATTTACTGCTTTTGCTGCTCTTTACTTCCCAGAGATTGATTTATCCACAGCACCCCCTGCTGCTTCTCAGGACTGTATGAATTCTAATATACAGACACCTCACTATGACTCTTCTTTATTTATCCTCTTGGTAATGTGCCTGATGATGTTGAGTAGAGATTTCATGCATGGATGATGAGCTGTGCCTTAAAATCTGTCTCCATGAACCACAGTCCTTTCTCTAGGGCTGTTATATGAAGCTTTATCAGTGACCACTGGTGATGAAGGGAGTGAACAGAGACAGCACAATTGATGGATGGGATCCAGAATTGCTTTATAGTGCAATTTCCCAAATCCTTCTGCTGCACTTGGGACAGTAAACTCACAACTCCTGGAATATGAACAAATGTGGTATGTGCGGATCTGTTCCCAACTTCAGAAAGTATTTCACCTTTGTTGCTAATTCATCATTTGTATT